CGCTCTAGCCAGCAGGAGGAGTCTGGGAGAGAAGGGGGGAGGGGAAGCCACCTTGACACTCTCGCCCGCGTCCTCGAACCAGTAGCCGCACTGCGCCAGCGAGACGGGGGCGCCTGCGGTGCGCCGACAGCCCGCGGGTGAGAGCCCCTCGAAGGGGCGCAGAAGGAGGGGGCGCAGAAGCAGGCACGCGCACCGCCTCTCCCGGCCGCCGGAGTCGCGCCGACGCTGTCGGCGCCTGTGGCTCCGGTCGCTCCGGTCGTCGCCGCCTCGGGCTGCTCGATCGGCTTTGGCGGGAGCGGGTTCGCGCGCGCGGCGGCGGCAGCGGCGGCGCGCACGGCCTCGGCCCCAATCTTCGCCTCCACCTCCCGCAAGGGCGCCTCGCCGCCCGCCGCACGCGCCTCCGCCTCTCGCGCCTGTCGGGCGTGTCGTGGACGTGTCGTGGACGTGTCGTGGGCAGCCGTCGCGCGCCTCCCGCCCCCCGCGCGCCGCCGCAACAAGCCTCTGGTGCTCGCGCAGCACTTCCTTGCGCCGCCGCGACGCCTCCCGCTCCTCCTCCTCCCGCCGCATCGCCGCCGCCGCCGCCGCCCGCTCGTCCGCCGCGACGTTCGCCGCGAGAGCCGCCGCTCGCCGCGCCTAGAGACGGCTCCGAAGCGGCTCCGAAGCGGCTCCGACACGGGGCTCGCCGGAGCTCGCCGCCGCTCGGAAGTGCCTCGTCCGCCGCCACGACGTCGGAGACCGCGGCGCGCCACGCCTGCAGCTCCGCCTGCGGCGAGACGCAGCCGAGGTCGAGGGCGCGGGGCTCGGCCGAGGGCAGGGGGGGAGCCATCGGGCGGAGCCGCGCCTCGCGAGCCCCAGCCCACCACTCGGAAGCGAGGCCGCGCTCCCCGCCGCCCCCAGTGTGCTCGGCGAGTGCTGTCGGCTGCTCGGCGTCGCTGTCGCTGTCGCCCTCCTCGCCCTCCTCGCCCTCCTCCCACAGCTCGGCGAGGGGCGAGCGGCTCAGCGCCGCCGGGTCGCGCCCCTCCCTCTCCTCGTGCGCCTCCATCTCGCTGATGAGCTTCTCGGCCGCCTGCGAGGGAGG